TTTTTTTTTTTTTTTAACAGACTTAAAGAGGAGGCCTAAAGCCAAGGAATCAATTCCAAATCAGGGAATTTCCAAAGAAGAATTATTCCAAGTGGCATCAGTGGAAAAACACATTCAAGATGAGCTCTGGTCCTCCAAACTGAAAGCAATGTGTGGTCATGATGACCAGTTAGAGATGCAGCAGATAAAACAGGAAAGACCCCTGAAAAAAATGTCAACCACTCACAAATCTTCTACCAATCTTAGGAGAGATGAGTGGAGTGAATTTGGGAGAAGTTTAGGCTTAAGATCTGTCTTTGTTAAGCAACACAGTGTTCCCATGGGAGAAGGATCCTATAAATGTGATACAGAATTCATACAGACTTCAGGGGGTAATAACTCTCAGAGAACCCATCCAGAGAAGAAATCTTGTAAATGTAATGAATGTGGGAAGTGCTTCCATTTCCAATCAGAACTTCGGCGCCATCAGCGATGTCACACTGGAGAAAAGCCCTATGAATGCAGTGAATGTGGAAGAGCTTTTGGTCATATTTCATCCCTTATTAAACATCAGAGAACTCATACTGGAGAAAAGCCCTATGAATGCAGTGAATGTGGCTTCAGTCAGAGTTCATCTCTCGTTCTACATTATAGATTTCACACTGGAGAGTGAATGTGGAAGAGCTTTTGGTCATATTTCATCCCTTATTAAACATCAGAGAACTCATACTGGAGAAAAGCCCTATGAATGCAGTGAATGTGGGAGAGCCTTCAGTCAGAGTTCATCTCTCGTTCTACATTATAGATTTCACACTGGAGAGAAACCCTACAAATGTAATGAATGTGGGCGAGCCTTTGGTCATACTTCATCTCTTATTAAACATCAGAGGACTCATACTGGAGAAAAGCCCTATGAATGTAGGGAATGTGGGAGAACCTTTAGCCAGAGCTCTTCTCTCATTGTGCATTATCGATTTCATACTGGAGAGAAACCTTACAAATGTAATAAATGTGGGAGAGCTTTCAGCCAGAGTTCATCTCTCACCCAACATTATAGATTTCATACTGGAGAGAAACCCTATAAATGTAATGAGTGTGGAAGGGCCTTTGCTCACACCGCATCCCTTATTAAGCATCAAAAAAGTCATGATGGAAAAAAAAGCCTATGAATTCAGTGAATGTAGAAGGGCTTTCAGCTGGAGTATACACATTACCAAACCTCAGAGAATTCATATTGGAGAGAGATGCTAAAAGTGTAATGTATGTGGGAAGACCTTTGGTCAGAGGGCACATCTTGTTCCACATCAGACAGTACATACTAAAGAGAAGCCCTGTCGATTTCAAGAGAGAAGGTGGGATTTCAGACATACCCACTCTCTCACCAAACACGGGAGAATCCATACTAATGAGAAACCATGTGAATGTAATGAATGTGGAAAGGCTTCAGTCAGAGAGGATGCATGTCATTCAGCATCAGACAATTTATACTTGGGAGACTTATCAATGTACTGAGTATGGCAAGCCTTCAGTCACACACTGTTCCTTTGAAAAATCAGATAGCTCATACTGGAGAGAAATTCTGCAGGCATGGTAAGTCAAGAACACATGCTAGAGAGAAGCTCTATGAAAACAGGAAATGGGGGAAGGTCTTCAGTCATAGCTCATCCCTTATTAAGCTTCAGAAAATTCATACTTAAGAAAAA